AAATGTTGTATTCTATACCCATTTGAAGAGAAACAAGTTATTGTGTTTGATAAGATTACAGATTCTCTCAGCGGACCCCATTTAAATTTCAGGGGACAACACAAAAGTTTGGGAACCACTGTAACCTCTCTATCTGCTTGCGTCCTCTCTCTGTCTCTCCTCTGCCTCCTCCTGCATTGCAGCCTGCCTCAGCCTCACCACTGTCTGTGTCACTACTCTCTGTAAAGCAGTTTTTTAAAAGATATGTTTTATATACATGAGAATAATATTGAATTGTCTTTATATTTTATTTATTTATTTTATTTTATTTTTTATGCCATTTAGCAGACGCTTTTATCCAAAGCGACTTACAGTCATGCGTGCATACATTTTTGTGTATGGGTGGTCCCGGGGATCGAACCCACTACCTTAGCGTTACAAGCGCCGTGCTCTACCAGCTGAGCTACAGAGGACCACATTTAAATTGTCTTTATATTTCACTAAATTTTAGGTCCCACATGCTGTCCCAACACATAATGACATGAAAGTGCATTCTAACAGTGTAAAAGGCCCTTAGTTGACTTTAATAATGGGTATAGAATACAACATTTTAATGTGTTTGATAAGATTAAAGATTCTCTCAGGGACCAAGCTTGGGAAACACTGTACTACTTACCTGTGGTCCTCTGTAGCTCAGCTGGTAGAGCACGGCGCTTGTAATGCCAGGGTAGTGGGTTCGATCCCAGGGACCACCCATACACAAAAAAATATGTATGCACGCATGACTTTAAGTCGCTTTGGATAAAAGCATCTGCTAAATGGCATATTATTATCATTATTATATTATTATTACCTCTCTCTCTGCTTGCATCCTCTCTCTGTGTCTTCTTTGCCTCCTGCATTGCACCCTGCCTCACCACTGTCTGTCTCACTATTCTTTGTAGCTAGGTTTCCATCCAATTGGCGACAGATTTTCATGCGAATATTCAAAAACCTGCATTAAAACAATATGCGCATGTGTTTGCATCAAATTGAGTTGTTGCAGATAAAAGGCTGTGCGTGATGACGTAGTGCACATAAACATACCTTTCGCGGTTAAATTCCCATGTACCGAATAAAAAATATGAGTTAAATGGGTTTCCATTGCATTTTCAACTCTACTGATGGTTTTCAAAACAAAAAAACGCTATGTAGCGAGTGTGCCCACTCTGGTATTGGCACGTGCGCTCTAGCCAACAGCGCGGCAGGGTGCAGATAATGTACTCTATCTGCGCGTTGTTGGCTAGAGCGCAAGTATAGCCTACATGAGATTATTATGGACAAAAGAGTGCGATTATTTTTATATGTCAAACGGCAGCCAAGCATCGATGATCATGTCACCAGAATAAGACTCTTAATGTTTATTGGAAATGAGCATCTAGTTCGTCACCTAGCACTTTCATCACCCTGTAAAGTTCATCATAACTTATTTCATCTTTAGCCTAATACGACATCTCGTATTGGGAGGACCACACATGTCATCGCGTGACTCCAAGTTTACTTTGATATGATGGTTATTATATAAATATTTGCGCATTAAAAGCATTTCCACTGACATTTCTCACATAATTCATTTTACCCACACAAAAATATACTACCTTGTCTAGCATATTTTGTTTCGTCGACATTTGGGAAGTTTACAAAGGTAATGTACTGTTTCCATCAGGCATGTCATGACATTTTTTATCCAGCGTGTACTTTACTTGTATAAAAAGATTAGATGGAAACCTGGTTAGTAAAGCAAAGTTATTCTGTTATGAGAACTTATGTAGCCTATCCTTAATTTCAGTCAACTGCTCCTGCTGAGGTCAGGCTCCATTTAACGTTAGGGTCTAACTTCATCCTTCTAGCCAGCTAGTTATAGCTAACGTTACCTAGCGATCTGGCTAACATTAGCTATAGCCCTTGAACTAGCTAGCTAGCCATCTGACTGAAATATCAGGGGGGGGGTTGTTTGAGAGATGTCTGACAAGGCAGGAGTCGAGGGACGTTTGCCAGTTTGGTCTGGGCTGAGGTAGTTCGTTTCACGTCTCGGCCTGTGCTGTGGGCGGAGTTTGCCGTTGGACAGAGTGGTGAATGAATGCGCTGCTAACAAGGAAAATCCGGGTGGAGCAGGCAAACATAACGAGCATACCTGAATCATGATTCCATTCGTTCGCAAAGGCAGGCGTGATTAGAACTCAGATCAATAATATTAGCGTTCTGACCGTTGATAAACGCTCGGAACACAATAATAAGTGGGTAAACAATAATTAACTAAATAAAAAGGTGAGTGAACACAATTTCACAAATAAAAAGGTGCGTAACTGGCGTTTTTCCTTCCACTAAGTCCCTGGCTGCAACTACCAAACACTTGCTCTGTCTGCCTTACCTGTACTCACCTGCGCTGTCTAGACTGCCTCATTAATTACTGTTGTTGTCACGTTCTCTTACATAATTCATCAAGTGTGTCAATAGCAGGATACCCTCAGATTAAAAATCAACATGCTTGGCTAGATTACACCTATCTAAACATACTTTACATTGTTTGCAAGATCAGGCATAATATCACTATAATCCGAGTGTTCATTTTCAGAAGTTGCTTTAATTTCAGCACATCTAGTTTGTTAGACATACTGTATCAACTGTATTAAATTATAACTTTTTTCAATTACACAAAAAATGAACACCAATCAAAATAAAGTTATCTTTCTTCTCTTTCTTGTGATGTACAGTAAGTGTTGAGATGGTGTGTTAAATCCCCGACTAAGCTTTAGCGTTCTTATAGATTCAACTGAAAGCCAGTGTATCCCATTTAGCCCATTTTAGCCATTACCGGGGTGTTTTTGACAGGTCACTACAAATATTTCCGAGGTCATAATGTTAACGAGAAAAAACGACAGGCACAAGCAAAAGTATGAAAGAGTCGCAGGAGTAAAATGAAAGCAATCAATCCAGCGAGATTTAACTGACAAGTGGATTTGGCACCCCTCAAACACAGGAAATGGATGGCTGAAAAAGACAGATCCTCAGGTGGGCGATTATCATGCCTCGGTTTATTGGTACATCAAACCAGTTTATTAAGTTTGATTGTTGTACAGTTAAATCTTTAACATTATCAAACTAGTCTGGAAGCTGGCCATATTGAACATATAGGTCAGCGTCCTCAAGAAAAGTGACAAGGGGATTTAAATGGAGGCTTAAAGGCACAATCCTTCATTCGTTTTTCAACAGAAAGGCAGCCCTGCCACTTGGTTTGCTCTAAAGCTAAGGGATGGAGATGGAGAACTGTCACCACGCTTAAATTCATAAATGGAGCTATGGTCGTAATGATTGGCACATAAGGACTAAACATACACTGCTCAAAAAAATAAAGGGAACACTAAAATAACACATCCTAGATCTGAATGAATGAAATAATCTTATTAAATACCTTTTTCTTTACATAGTTGAATGTGCTGACAACAAAATCACACAAAAATTATCAATGGAAATCAAATTTATCAACCCATGGAGGTCTGGATTTGGAGTCACCCTCAAAATTAAAGTGGAAAACCACACTACAGGCTGATCCAACTTTGATGTAATGTCCTTAAAACAAGTCAAAATGAGGCTCAGTAGTGTGTGTGGCCTCCACGTGCCTGTATGACCTCCCTACAACGCCTGGGCATGCTCCTGATGAGGTGGCGGATGGTCTCCTGAGGGATCTCCTCCCAGACCTGGACTAAAGCATCCGACAACTCATGGACAGTCTGTGGTGCAATGTGGCGTTGGTGGATGGAGCGAGACATGATGTCCCAGATGTGCTCAATTGGATTCAGGTCTGGGGAACGGGCGGGCCAGTCCATAGCATCAATGCCTTCCTCTTGCAGGAACTGCTGACACACTCCAGCCACATGAGGTCTAGCATTGTCTTGCATTAGGAGGAACCCAGGGCCAACCGCACCAGCATATGGTCTCACAAGGGGTCTGAGGATCTCATCTCGGTACCTAATGGCAGTCAGGCTACCTCTGGCGAGAACATGAAGGGCTTTGCGGCCCCCCAAAGAAATGCCACCCCACACCATGACTGACCCACCGCCAAACCGGTCATGCTGGAGGATGTTGCAGGCAGCAGAACGTTCTCCACGGCGTCTCCAGACTCTGTCACGTCTGTCACATGTGCTCAGTGTGAACCTGCTTTCATCTGTGAAGAGCACAGGGCGCCAGTGGCAAATTTGCCAATCTTGGTGTTCTCTGGCAAATGCCAAACGTCCTGTACGGTGTTGGGCTGTAAGCACAACCCCCACCTGTGGACGTCGGGCCCTCATACCACCCTCATGGAGTCTGTTTCTGACCGTTTAAGCAGGCACATACACATTTGTGGCCTGCTGGAGGTCATTTTGCAGGGCTCTGGCAGTGCTCCTCCTTGCACAAAGGCGGAGGTAGCAGTCCTGCTGCTGGGTTGTTGCCCTCCTACGGCCTCCTCCACATCTCCTGATGTACTGGCCTGTCTCCTGGTAGCGCCTCCATGCTCTGGACACTACGTTGACAGACACAGCAAACCTTCTTGCCACAGCTCGTATTGATGTGCCATCCTGGATGAGCTGCGCTACCTGAGCCACTTGTGTGGGTTGTAGACTCTGTCTCATGCTACCACTAGAGTGAAAGCACCGCCAGCATTCAAAAGTGACCAAAACATCAGCCAGGAAGCATAGGAACTGAGAAGTGGTCTGTGGTCACCATCTGCAAAACCAGTCCTTTATTGGGGGTGTCTTGCTAATTGCCTATAATTTCCACCTGTTGTCTATTCCATTTGCACAACAGCATGTGAAATTTATTGTCAATCAGTGTTGCTTCCTAAGTGGACAGTTTGATTTCACAGAAGTGTGATTGACTTGGAGTTACATTGTGTTGTTTAAGTGTTCCCTTTATTTTTTTGAGCAGTGTATTTTGAAGCTATACATTGTTTGTTCACAAATACATTGTTTGCAAACAATCCCAATGTCATCTCTGTCCCAGCAGGAGCCATGATTCCTGTGACGGAGTTCCGGCAGTTCTCAGAGCAGCAGCCACAGTTCCGGGTTCTGAAGCCCTGGTGGGATGTGTTCACAGACTACCTCTCTGTGGTCATGCTAATGATCGGGGTGTTCGGATGCACCCTACAGGTCAGTAGCATCAAACAGCTTCAAAATCTCTTCCATAAAAAGCCTGAGTATCTATGAACAAGCAATTGTTTCTATGAGGTGCATACATATTCTAAACATTTTGTAGCATAAGCCTATACCCAGAGGGCAAGACTGGTTGAAATTATGTTATGTTTCAGATTTCTGGTTGTAATTATGTAATTTTAAGTTTTACTCTTGTAGTTCACATAGTCTGCCTTGTTTTCTGTGTACAGTACAGTCATGTTTTTATAGCATATATTATGTTTACTTTATCTGCTACTACCACCTAGATATAATTAAAGATATGTTGAAATGCTTGAATCAAATCTTTAAAGTGACTTGCTGAATAGCAGATATTAAAATAAATGTTAAAGTAATTAGGGACACAGCTCTAGAACTTTAGTGTGGCCTGTCCTGCAGTGACAAACAACCCAATGTTGGGTTCATGTTAATCTCGCTCTCTCTCTGTCGAGACGTCTGGTTTCAGAGCACCTCAGAACGCTACTTGAATGGCAGTCAATGGTAGGAGCGGAGTAAACATCTGCAGGTTTTAATTGGCTGATCTTTCACTCCTGCACCATCCAGCATCTCCCCCTCTTTGTGGATTTCAATGCGCTAGCATAGCAAGTAATGGGCTAAACAAGGAAGTGAGTTTGGGAAATCAGAAAGTTTTCAAATATAAACTTTATATGCCTGAACTAAGAATGAATTGGTCTCTGCAAAAATAATATGGTCGCTGTGAACATTTCTTTTGATGGGTGATTTTCAAAACATTTCAAAGTCCCATCAATTCGAGCCTGGGGACAAGGTTAGGTTAATGTAAGCTGCAATCTGACGGGAGTTTACCAGCGGAAGGGAAAGACATTCCTGCACTCCACACACAGACATACAGAAACACACACACCACACACCAAAAATGGCCCCCCACCTGCCCCACCCCCTCTTCATAAACACATGGGGAACACATGGGAAACACACACACTGCACCGTGCACCAAAAATGGCCCCCTGCCTGCCCCACCCCCTCTTCATAAACAAATGGGACTTGTCCAAAATGGCACCCTATTCCCTATAGTGCACTGGTCAAAAGTAGTGCAATAAATACAGAATAGGAGGCCATTTGGGACATAGTCATGATTCCAGCAGCCCATGACCTGTCACTTCACTTCTCTTCACCACTCTGACCAATTGAAGATGGTGGAGTTCGATCTGCTGATTCTGGGCTGCATCCCAAATGAACCCTATTCCCTATGTAGTGGCCTACTTTTGACCAGTGCCCATAAGGGCTCCATCTATATATAAACCCCTGTAGATTATGACTAATTATTTTTTGAAACCCCCAAACACCATTGATAGGAACTATTTATTAGGGTAGGAATATCCCCTGTTGTCCACTTGAGCTGATGGGAAGGATCTCTACAAAAAGACAGAATGAGTGTTTAGAATGTTTGTTTGTTAATTGTGGGCAATTTCAAAACCAGCCTGGCGTCAGAGCCATATGAAACATACTATACGTATTTCTGAGCACCTCGAAGACATGTGATATGCACTAAAGGTTAGTTACTTTAGACAGAAAACAACAGTAGGGAAGTTGGTCAGGGAGGATGGGTGGGCGTATACCACAACCGTCTAGCAATTGAAAGGTTGCGCGTTCGAGCCACGTCAGGGACAACTAGCATTTAAGCTTCCCCTAACCCTCTAACCATAACCCAATTTACCTAACCTGCTGCATAAATTATCCTAACCTTTGTCGTTATTTCTCCTAAACACCAATGTAAATTCTACCTGCAACTCTCCTTTGTTGTTAGGACACAACAAGCAACCTAGTCTCAGAGAAAGACGTATGATACTATACATACTCCAAGATGTATGTTACATTAAATCATCCAATTCGTATGCTATTGTACGACCGGGTAAGACGTATGATACTATACGTCCTCTAATTCGTATTAAATTGTACGATCGCTATTCCATTCATAATGAAATCTAACGTAATATATCATAGTAAATGGAGGGAACAGATTCACTTACCAAATCCTACGAACTGCCCTGGGACTAGGTTGTCAAAACACCACCCATCTGATGACTTCCATTAGTTTATATGGGCGAACTGCAGCCTTGTCAAAGCAAAGCAGTGTACTAGCTCAAATTAATACATTTCCTGGCTTTATGGGACTGTGTGTCTGAGTTTAGATTTGTGAAGATTAACACTGGCTCTACCAAAGGGACATTTTAACAGATAGAAGCCAATGAATAGCTCTACACACTAGCTACTGCATATAGGGAGAGGAGTTGGGAGGGCAGAGAGAGACAGAGCAGGAGAAAGAGTGAGAGAGGAGAGAGTGAGAGAGAGAGGGAGAGTGAGAGAGCAAGAGGAGAGGTTCAGAGAGAGAGAGGATATATAGAGAGATATAATTCTGCTGATCCTCTCTCGAGAGACTACTCAGCAAGTCTGACTGCGTTTCTCCTGTCCTGCCCTGTACTGCTGCAGCGCACCCCTGAGCACAACCATGAGCCTAATTTCCTCTGCCCCATAAACCATGTCACTGGTCTGAATCATAGCAAGAAAAGTACATCTTTACGAAGCTGAAGAAGAAAAAAATGATATATATTTTTTCTCACTGTAAATACATCACCACAACTTGGGTCCATGATTCATCTATATGAATAGTAAAACATATATATTGTTTTATGTGTTATAACAAGCATAACACATTATTTTCTGGTACAGTATTGCATGGCATTAGAGTGAGTGTCTCCCTCTTCAGTCTGCGATTTCGATTTGTTAAAGCACTAATTGGTTATTTCCTGTCTGAGTCACATGTTTACCAGTGAAGTCAGAGCAGAAATTGAGACAGGGCAAGGTTTCCCGATAGCAATGGAACTTAGGCTTACTAGTGTTATAATGGTGCATCATTCCTTCAACAGTCAAAGATGTAACATGCGTTTCCCAAAACACCACGTAGAGAAAACGTTTGCTAAATGTGTCGTTAGACCATGTGTCGATACTGATAAGATCAAAAGAAAAGCAGCGCTGCTCTCGGATCATCTTTCTCCATTCAAATCTTACCTTAACATTAGAATTACACCACAATACTGATGACGGATCAGCTCCTAGAGATATTACCATCTATGGCTTCAAATATTCAGGTGGCTTATAATGCTTACCCAATAATAATGTACTAAATTACCGATTGGGGACATCATCGTGCACCTGTTGTTACATATGCAATATATTGAGTCAAATTACAAACAATAGCCTATTATCAAAATATAACTAAATTGATTGAACATACTGTAGAATTTATTTCAATATGATTGAAATATATAGGCCCATTTAGCCTATTTATATTTTATTGCAGTCATCTCGGCTTTCATTTGAAGCATATTTGTATCCTTCACTTGTTTGTAACAATTTAAGTTATCAGCATCACTTTCAGACAGATAAACATCTTGATCCTATGTTTAGCGGAAGTCTTCTGTGAATAAAGTGTTGAAGAAGGGCAAAAAAGCATCTAACAATGCACTTAGCTGTTCTACAAGTGATCTGAGGCAGTCTGTAAATAACAAGTGTTTTCAAGTGCAACTTTAGTAACTATGGTTTTGGGAAACAGCTCAGAGATTTAGCGATGCTCCTACAGAGGTTCTAATGATGAACTTTTGGGAAACCAGGCCAGATCATCAGATATTCCCCCCGTTGTTTATATTATCACTGTATCTAACTAACTTTATGTAATAGACTAGTTTCAAGTTTTAAGTTTTGATGTTGCTGTGTTGCTTGCTTGATTCTTCCCAGCAAACCGGGAACATTCCAATAACATTAGTTAAGGTTCCCATGAAGTTCTAGTTAGGGTTTTATCTAACATTAGGATGATAACATCCCAAGAACATTTAAGGAATGTTTTTGATAGCAAAATGTATTTTTCTTTCAGATTAAAAACAAAATGAAATATCCTTGGAATATTCTCCTAACATTCACTAAAATGTTGTGCACAACATTTGTAACAAGCACCACAGAACATTCCCCAAACGTGCTCATTAGGTTTCCAGGTAATGTAATAACACAATGTACCAGTAATGTTTTAGAACATACTGCTGCAACAAAATGTGAGAGCAACGTTCTGTCAACATTCTTGCAACATCAGGCAAATGTTTTATACAAACATTGTATAATCAGCACAACTGGACAGTTTTTGTGTTATGAGAACATTTGTCGCAACCTAACGAATGTTCTGGGAACTTTCACAGAAACAATTTTGGTTTGCTGAGTTATTGTTTGTTCTTTGTTTTATTTCAGGTGAGGCAGGACAAAATCATCTGCCTTCCCCAAAAAATGTCCATGCCCAACCAAACAATACTCTTACCAAATAAAACTGCTGTGCCGCTGGACGTGCACGAGCTGATGGGCCGGAAAACCAACCTGGACTTCCAGCAGTACAGCTTCATCAACCAGATGTGCTACGAGAAAGCCCTGCACTGGTACGCCAAGTACTTCCCTTACCTGGTCCTCATCCACACCCTCATCTTCATGGTGTGTAGCAACTTCTGGTTCAAGTTCCCAGGCTCCAGCTCTAAGATAGAGCATTTCATCTCCATCTTGGGAAAGTGCTTTGACTCCCCCTGGACTACCAGAGCTCTGTCTGAGGTGTCTGGAGAGAACCCAGAGGAGAAGGTATTGTTGGTATGTGTTTGTATGTACTGTATGTATGTATTTACTGTGTGCGTGCGTAAAATTATGTTTTAACCTGGACTAGGCTCAATCTGTATCCCAGAAACTGGCCCTATATTGTATATATTTTAAATATAATGCATTCATTCATTCATTCATGAATTAATTCAAGGACAACAAGAAGAGCAGAGCCAGTAGAGCGATCCTTAACGTGTCTGTAGAGGGGAACCTGGACAACCTGGAGAAGACCCAGTCCCTCAAATCCATCCCAGAGAAGATCGTAGTGGACAAGCCCACAGCCAGCGCCCTGGATAAGAAGGAAGGAGAACAAGCCAAAGCTCTGTTTGAGAAGGTGAAGAAGTTCCGCCTGCACGTCGAGGAGGGGGACATCCTCTATGTTATGTATGTTCGCCAGACTGTTCTCAAGGTGTTCAAGTTCCTCCTCATCATCGCGTATAATAGTGCTTTAGTCTCTGAGGTGCAGTTCACAGTGAAGTGCAGTGTGGACATACAGGACATGACGGGATATAAGCATTTCTCCTGTAATCACACCATGGCCCACCTGTTCTCTAAGTTGTCATACTGTTACCTGTGCTTTGTGGCTGTGTACGGATTCACCTGCCTCTACACTTCCTATTGGCTCTTCTACCGCTCTCTGAAGGAGTACTCCTTTGAATACGTGCGGCAAGAAACGGGAATCGATGACATCCCAGACGTGAAGAATGACTTTGCCTTCATGCTGCACATGATCGACCAGTACGACCCACTGTACTCCAAGAGGTGCGGATTTTCTTTTTAAAATTAGACAATTGTAAATTGTTTCAAATAATTCAGCTCTTCGTTGTTATTGATAAGTATGTAATGCCTCCAATTGTAAAATAAACCATTCACATGCCGTAGTATGGCTGCCATCTGCTCCAACCCTTCGAAGGGGTTATTGTGTTACTATTTTTCCTTTAGTTTATTTAGCACATTTTTCTAACTTACTTTTTAAATACTCTGCATTGTTGGTTAAGGGCTCGTAAGTAAGCATTTCACTGAAAGGTCTACACCTGTTGAATTCAGCGCATGTGACAAATATAATTTGATTTGATTTGAATAAACAGAAGACAAGTTTCTGTTGCACATCCTTTTACATAGTTTTTTGGACAATAAAGTAATCTTCTTATTCTCTCTTTCTTTCTGTCTCTCTCTCAGGTTCGCAGTGTTCCTGTCTGAGGTCAGCGAGAACAAACTGAAACAGCTAAACCTGAACCATGAGTGGACACCAGAGAAGCTACGTCAGAGACTGCTGACCAACCATAACGACAGACTGGAGCTGCAGCTCTTCATGCTGTCTGGGCTCCCGGACACTATCTTCGAGGTGACAGAGCTCCAGTCCCTGAAGCTAGAGATCATCAACAACGTAACCATCCCGGCCTCCATCGCCCAGCTGGAAAACCTCCAGGAGCTGTCTCTATATCAGTGTTGCTTAAAGATCCACACCACAGCCACTTTCTTCCTCAAGGAGAAACTCAAGGTATGCTATTCTGGTAGTCTTTTGGTGTGGCATGTTTTTTTATGGCTCTTGACTTTGTATTCTATAATCTGTTTTTGTCTTGTACAGTTTGTGGGTATTTCCACCAATTCGGTGCGTTTTGAGAAGTATAACTTGGTCTTAAAAACACATTTGATTTCACCTAATTGTAACATTCTGCCATAAAGAGCAAATGTTCAACTTAATAAAAAAACAGTTTTCCCATCTCAAGAGGTTAAATGAAAAATAAGTGCCTATTAAGTGCCAAATAAAGTAACAGCCCACATGAAAAAATACCATAGTAAAGTAGTAGCCTTCACTGTAGTGTTTTTGCGGAATGTAGTTTTACTGTAGTGTTGTGGACATGACTGTAGTATATTGTAGTATTTACAGTTTACTATAGTATACTGTAGTGTATACTATAGTAATTACTGTAGTGTTTTGTGGACTGTAGTGTTTTTGCTGACATTACTGTAGTATTTACTGTAGTGTTTTTGGAGTCAAGTATTGTTATGAACCCAAAAACTAGCCTATGGATATTGATGCATTCTCTTTGTCGAGAGGTCCTAGGCCTAGTTACAGAGCCTTCAAAAAGGTATTCACACCCCTTGATATTTTCCACATTTTGTTGTGTTACAAAGTGGGATTAAAATGGATTTAATTGTCATATTTTGTCAATGGTCTACACTAAATACTCTGTAATGTCGTGATGGAAGAAAAATTATAACATTTGTTAAAATAAATAATGAAAAATAAAACACTAATCTATCTTGATTAGATAAGTATTCAACCCCCTGAGTCAATACATGTTATAATCACCTTTGGCAGCGATTACGGCTGTGAGTCTTTCTGGGTAAGTCTCTAAGACAATTTCACATCTGGATTGTGCAACATTTGTCCATTATTCTTTTCAAAATTCAAGCTCTGTCAAATTGGTTGTTGGTCATTGCTAGACAACCATTTTCAGGTCTTGCCATAGATTTTTAAGCAAAAACTGTAACTCGGGCACTGAGGAACATTCACTGTCTTATTGGTAAGCAACTATAGTGTAGGTGTGGCCTTGTGTTTTAGGTTATTGTCCTGCTGAAAGGTGAATTAATCTCCCAGTGCCTGTGCTTAGCTCCACTCTGTTTCTTTTTTATCCTGAAAAACTCCCCAGTCTTTAACGATTACAAACATACCCATAACATGATGCAGCCACCACTCTGCTTGAAAACATGGAGAGTGGTACTCAGTAATGTGTTGCATTGGATTTGCCCCAAATATAAAAAAGTGAATTGCTTTGCCACATTTTTTGCAGTATTACTTTAATGCCTTGTTGCAAACAGGATGCATGTTTTGGAATATTTGTATTCTGTACAGGCTTACTTCTTTTCACTCTGTGAATTAGGTTAGTATTGTGGAGTAACTACAATGTTGTTGAACCATCCTCAGTTTTCTCCAATTACAGCCATTAAACTCTGTAACTGTTTTAAAGTCACCATTGAGCGGTTTCCTTCCTCTCCGGCAACTCAGTTAGGAAGGACGCCTGTATCTTTGTAGTAACTGGATGTATTGATACGCCATCCAAAGTGTAATTGATAACTTCACCATGCTCAAAGGGATATTTAATGTCTGCCTTTTTTATTTTTACCAATAGGTGCCCTTCTTTGTGAGGCATTGGAAAACCTCCCTGGTCTTTCTGGTTGAATCTGTGTTTGAAATTCACTGCTTGACTGAGGGACCTTACAGATAATTGTAAGTGTGGGGTACAGAGATGAGGTAGTCATTAGAAAATCATGTTAAACACTATGTGAGTCCATGCACTATGTGAGTCACAGTGTGAGTCCATGCAACTTATTATGTGACTTGTTATGCTAATTTTTTATCCTGAATTTATTAAGGTTTGCCATAACAAAGGGGATACATACTTATTGACTCAAGACATTTCAGCTTTTCAGTTTTTTATTAATTTAGAACATAATTTCACTTTGACATTATGGGGTATTGTGTGTATGCCAGTGACAAAAAAAATCTCAATTTAATACATTTTATATTCAGGCTGTAACACAACAAAATGTGGAAAAAGTCAAGGGGTGTGAATACTTTCTGAAGGCACTGTACATGGTCTGTAACCTGAAGGAATGTGTGCATCTGTGAGTAATCAGCAAATGCGCCTAGGTGTTGAATGTCAATACTTTGTAGAGCCACCTTTTGCAGCAATGACAGCTGCAAGTCTCTTGGGGTATGTCTTTATAAGTGTGTCACATCTAGCCACTGGGATCTTTGCCCATTCTTCAAGGCAAAACTGCTCCAGCTCCTTCAAGTTGGATGGGTTCCGCTGGTGTACAGCAATCTTTAAGTCATACCACAGATTCTCAATTGGATTGAGGTCTGGGCTTTGATTAGGCCATTCCAAGACATTTAAATGTTTCCCCTTAAACCACTCAAGTGTTGCTTTAGCAGTATGCTTATGGTCATTGTCCTGCTGGAAGGTGAACCTCCGTCCCAGTCTCAAATCTCTGGAAGATTGAAACATGTTTCTCTCATGAATTTCCCTGTATTTAGCGCCATCCATCATTCCTTCAATTCTGACCAGTTTCCCAGCCCCTGCCAATGAAAAACATCCCCACAGCATGATGCTGCCACCACCATGCTTCACTGTGGGGATGGTGTTCTCGGGGTGATGAGAGGTGTTGGGTTTGCGCCAGACATAGGGTTTTCCTTGATGGCCAAAAAACTCAATTTTAGTCTCATCTGACCAGAGTACCTTCCCACATTCCTTTTGGCGAACACCAAATGTGTTTGCTTATTATTTTCTTTAAGCAATGGCTTTTTTCTGGCCACTCTTCCATAAAGTGTACAACTTAAAATGGTCCTATGGACAGATACTCCAATCTCTGCTGTGGAGCTTTGCAGCTCCTTCAGGGTTATCTTTGGTCTCTTTGTTGCCTCTCTGATTAATTCCCCCTTTGCCTGGTCCGTGAGTTTTGGTGGGCGGCCCTCTCTTGGCAGGTTTGTTGTGGTGCCATAATCTTTCCATTTATTTTATAATGGATTTAATGGTGCTCCGTGGGATGTTCAAAGTTTCTGATATTTCTTTATAACCCAACCCTGATCTGTACTTCTCCACAACTTTGTCCCTGACCTGTTTGGAGAGCTCCTTGGCCTTCATGGTGCCGCTCGCTTGGTGGTGCCATTTGCTTAGTGGTGTTGCAGAACAGGTGTATATATACTGAGATCATGTGACAGATAATGTGACACTTAGATATTTTGTGTATGTCCATTACATGAAATCCAAAAAAAAATCAATTTCAATTACAGGTTGAAATGCAACAAAATAGGAAAAATGCCAAGGGGAATGAATACTTTTGCAAGGCACTGTATGCCCAGGGAGACAGCAACCTTACTTTGGTCCAGGGCCAACTCTGTCTCTCTTGACCTCCTGGTCAGCCAGTCCTAGCGATTTATAATTTGTTCAGATGGTGACGAAACATAAATATGTACAAAAAGGAAAAATACAAAAGGTATGCCCAAACTAAAGACTAAAAAACAAATGAAAGGCCACCAAACAAAACCAGCAACTTGCAAGCAATGTTCCCTCTATGCTTCAGGCAGCTCCCACGGGACTGACGTGCAGAAGAAATATCAGCCTGCGCAGAGAAGCACGAGATTGAACTTCACTCAACTTTGTAGAGTTTTCCCCATTAGTTAACACTGTCAACGTTGCCCTTTACTGTGGGAATTGTGATCGAATCAACGCAATATTAGCCACTTTCAATGCAACATACCGAAACAAAACGAACTATGCAAGCGATTTTGTTGTAAGCAGAGCGCATCGAAGTAGGATTCTATTGTATTGACAGGCACGAATCAGGCCAGTACTCTACACAGACTGGTGCTCCATAACCAATCAGAGTTGCTGTAGGCCTATATGCAAATAGACATTTTACATTTACATTTGAGTCATTTAGCAGACGCTCTTATCCAGAGCGACTTACAGTTAGTGAGTGGATACATTTTCATACTGGCCCCCCGTGGGAAACGAACCCACAACCCTGGCGTTGCAAGCGCCATGCTCTACCAACTGAGCTACATGGGGCCATTGACATATGGATTTGTGCCATTCACTTTGAACTGGAGTGGTCGTGATTATTATGCGCTTGTTTTGAGATCAAAGCGAGAGCTGCATGTAGCCACGTGTGCAAATGTGTTCATATTCTTTGCTAGTTAGTGAGTTATTAGCCCAGTTATAGCTAATTTGTAGTCAGAAATGTGGGAGTGATTGCTTCCTACAAGAGCACAAAACGTGAACATTTCTAGCCATCTTTGAAGTCAGGTAAAGAGTCAGATAAAGAGCTTTTTTCTGTCTGAAAGGGGCAGTGTTGTATTTTGAGACAGGCTTGAATTAGCTAGGTGGCCAATAAGCAGAGGGTAACATAATATGTCTGATTCTCTGTGATAATGGTATGGGAATAATAATGCATTTTATTTTGTAAAGTGTTTTCTTACATCAAACAACACAACAAAACGTGTTATGCTCGACCCACTCAGTATTCCACAACAAAACACCAGACAATTGCCAAAAACAATAGAACCAGCTCACGTGCTTTGATATGACTATTTGATGTTCAATATTTCTTTAGAATTTATTTTTTAAAGGAATAGTTTCACCATATTAAAACGAGAGTTCTGTTCACGTAACAGGGTTGACCTTAAGATGTAAAATGAGGGACAGGTTTTTTTTTCTTCCTTAAAATGAATCACTAACAACATAAAATAAATAATAATCTTCAGAAATGATTTTGTCAAAGCAACAAAATAACTAGGGCTTTACAATGATGGTGAAAACATTTGGGGGTTAAGGTTAAAAATCTTCCTAGAAGTCACAGAGGATACACAGAGCGACATATCCATATTAAAAACCGGGTTTATCGAATTATCCATGTGGGGGCATTTAATATAACAGGCTTTTAAAATTCCACATTTGTGCACAATTTCTACTTAAAATATCAAAGGTACTCAAAAGGCACACATATTTTTGGGAACGACCCATGTGTATTTTGTCTGCTGTTGTTATTGACATTACATTTCCCCGCTGGGATTAACAAAATATCTATATATCTAGCCATCCATCTATCCATCTATCTCTATCTAAGGTGCTCAGGGTGAAGTTTGATGACAGCAGGGAGCTGCCTCATTGGCTGTACCACCTGCGGAATCTAGAGGAGCTCTACCTCATTGGCTCACTGAGTCCTGACTCTTCGAAGAATGTGGTTCTGGAGTCCCTGAGGGAGCTGAAGCATCTGAAGATCCTCTCGCTCAAAAGTAACTTTACAAAGATCCCCCAGTCCATCGTGGATGTGTCCAGCCACCTGCAGAAGCTGTACATCTACAATGATGGAACCAAGCTGGTGATGCTCAACAACCTGAAGAAGATGGTGAACCTGACTGAACTGGAGCTGGTGCACTGTGACCTGGAACGCATCCCACATGCTGTCTTCAGCCTCACGAACCTACAGGTATGATATGCCGTACTTTGAGTGCCTGCTATGATCGCCTACAGTGTCTCAAAACTCTGAGTAGTCAGCCTACAGGTATGAGTTACTGTAACTGGCTGCTATGATTGCATACAGTGTCTCAAAACTAGGGTTGCAAAAATGTATTGCCAATTGCTGTAATATTGTGGAATGCCACTTAAAATAAAAACATTTAACTCTTAACTCTACAGGAGTTGGATCTTAAGGAAAACAACCTGCACTCCATTGAGGAGATAGTCAGCTGCCAGCACCTTCGCAAACTGACGTGCCTGAAACTCTGGCACAACAATATCTGCTACATCCCAGAACACATCAAGAAGCTGGGAAGCCTGGAGCGCCTCTACTTCAGCCACAACAAGATAGAGATCTTGTCCCCGCACCTGTTCTTATGCAACAAGCTTCGTTACCTGGACCTGTCCAACAACGACATCCGGTTCATTCCGCCGGAGATCGGCGTCCTACAGAGTCTTCAGTATTTCTCTGTCACGTGCAACAAGATCGAGAACCTTCCAGACGAGCTCTTCTTTTGCAAGAAGCTCAAAACCCTCAAGCTGGGCAAGAATATGCTGTCGTTGCTCTCACCAAAGATCTCATACCTGGTTCTATTGACACACCTGGAACTGAAGGGCAACCATTTTGAGCTCCTGCCTCCAGAGCTGCGGTTCTGCCGGGCGTTGAAGCGTGGCGGCCTAGTGGTGGAGGACGTCTTGTTTGAAACCTTGCCTTCTGATATCAGAGACAAAATTAAGGCTGAGTGAAATGTTTTACAGTATCTGTGCAAAAGGCCCTGCGATACACTAGCGTCCTGTCCAGGGGGTGTACTTGTACATCAAGCTGCCTCACACTCGATAAACAGGAGATTGGCTCCTGCCCTATGGGCCATTCTGGCTTGGACAAGCCAACTTACATGTCTGTGAAAAAGAAAATGCCAATTTTGTCTTAATCTGACAATCATAGTCTAACAAAATACTAGATTTTACTGTATACTTAGCTTATCATGATCAAACTCTAAGCACTAACCCTTAGTTCGTTCAAGGGAACAGTTGTGATATTCATGGGTGTATGTTTTTGAGTATTATGTCTGTGTTACTTTATGACAGAAGGAAATATGGCTTTGTGTTGTAATTAAATGGTTCTTAACAATATAATTAGTCACAGGCAAGGTATACTTAGCCCTGGTACCAGTCTGTTTGTGCCAGGGGAGAACAACAGCCCCTCTCATTGAAGCCATGGAAGTTCATGGCTGACTGCGGTTCTGCAGGCATTATTAGCAGAAAACAGGATCCCCATTATAGTGAATGGAAAAATGTAAATCTTCGTGGTCAATGCGCTATTTCATCTTCATGTAGGAATGAATGGTGTCATGTGATCGATGGCTTTGTCCATTCATATATACAGTCATTTATTTGTGCTAATATTCGACTGCTTGTACTCATAATGTTTTGCATGACATGGAGTGGCAAGGAGTGGAATGATAGCACAAACAGATCTGGGACCAAGCAAAGGTATACTGTCCATCAGGATATCAATTACTAGATTGCTTGTTTTTGTATTGTCGATACTGTTATTTATTACACTGTACTGTATTATGCAGTTTGTCGAGCACAAGCTTCATTCATCATAAACTGGATAGAATGTAGGCTTATAATTACAAAGATAGAATGTACACTAGAATGGAAATTGTTAAGAGTTCTGTAGTCTGTGGGGTATAAGTGGGAGAAGGCACTCGTGGCAGGTGTGACCTCTAACCAGCTCTATGGCCAGGGACAAAAACAGGCTGGTTTGAGGGCACCTCCTTTCTATTCGGGCAGAGACGATATAGAAAGCGAGAAATCCCACTCCCTAATTTTTTCTGATCAGGGCGGAGCCACTCTGGTCTACTTATTGCCCCCACCCCACGGAAGGGGGTGCCCCAGAGACTGTAGGGAAAGGTGATATCTCACTGGCTCATTTTTTTCTGGTCGGGGTGGGTGGAGCAAGTGGGAAGGCGACAGCTGTTCCTTCTTTCTTGTGAGCATGCCAGATATTATTGAGGCAGTGAGCTCACACGGGAAAGCATGCTTAAAGTATTTTTAGCATATTTCAGCATATTAACGTATGTGCTAATATGAATCTACTGGTATAGTGTGGATATCTTTGAATGCATCAATGTTAACTCTTTAGGGACTATTGGAGTGAATCATTGGAGTGAATCTGACTTTAAGGCCATGAGAATATTTTTTTATGATCAGTGTTACATAGTTAATTGTTAATAGTTTCCTTATTGTTTAAGATATAAATGTCAAACTTAACATGGTTCTTCATGGTAATGTCTTTGATGACCCTAAAAAGTTTTAAGTTGATAGGCCATTGTGAAGTGCATTTACAAAGGATTTAAATGGACGGACACATAATTTATTTACTCACACATCTCCAAACCAATCCCTTAGCTTTTCTCAACCTAAGTTAAGAGATGTACCGTGTTCTCCAAAATTTCCAAGAGGGAGGGAAATCTATCCTGACGGATCTTATGGGTTCTTAAGGCAAATTGTTTAGCATGAGAAACGACACCTACGTAGAAAGTTTCAAGTCTCTAGGTCAAACGGGGCAGCGGATATGAGGGATATGTCTGCCAAAAAAAAATGTAACAATTTATGCTTGAATTATTTGACCATGTCAAGAAAGAAACAAATCTAAAAATAACAATAGGTTTCACCGCTTTGCTGTGAACCCCTAATTTTACTCTTGAGAAAATATTCCATAACTGCAGGTGGGAGTAAATCACCAACCTTGGCTTTATACCTGTTAAAACAACACACTATAGGTGGCAGTATGCAACCTTTCAGTTTGTTTACCAACTCACTTCAAGTAGGGCTGAGCGATATATCGGATTAATTAGATTAATTCAAATTAATGTTTTAGCGCAATGTTCCTGTATCACAAGAAGCAAGTAATTTTTTATGAGTGTTTGTCTTTTTGGTCTCGTCTCCTTCGCTCCTTCTGTGCTGGGTGCACTGTGCACCTTCCCACTCGCACACAGACAACAAGCCCCTGTCACTCACAACAACAAAGACGAAAGATCACTTCCTCTCTGACAACAAGCAGTTTCAACTCACTATTTGCATTAGATTTTTGGTCCAACAGAACCGGTCATATGGACACCAAAATGCTTTGAGACATTATTTTACTGCAATAGAGGAGAACCTTAACCCTTAATAACCTTTTTATGTCTCCTCAATTTGTGCAAAGAGCAGACCCTACTAAAACAGGAGTATAAATGAGCATTGATTCTAGAAAACTAAGACGCCGTAATGGGACATACTGTATACAATGTTTCGTCCTCTAACTATCTGTATGGTACCAATATCAAGTCAAGTAGCCATTTTGAATAATTGATCAGTTTTTTTCTGTTACATGTAGTTGCTAATTGACAGATTTGAATCACTGTTCACACCTGTTAAGCGTTTTCTTATATTATGCTAATAAAGGCCTGTTTTTTATGGTTATTGTGTTGCTGCTTGAATACTTTTCATGAGCTTTATATTGTTTGTTTGCCTGCCATATGCTATGCTATGTAGCCACCGCTAGCCTACTCTAGCTTTGGCCTTCTATGCCACATGCTATTTCAACCTCTTTGCCATTAGATTTGTTGTGTTGCTGCTATATTTATGTATAGTTTTACTCATTTACATTGTATTTGTATATTGTCATTGCATTGATATTCATATTATACAAGTTAACAGCCAATTAATTATGCACATTATTGCGTGCTATTATTTGTACCTTTCCTTTGTAGATAAACCACACATACCTACGTACCAACAACTCGAGACCTCGGGACTATAAGGTTCTAACTGGCATTTTGTTAAAAATAATTATTCACATAGAGTTGCTATTTTAGAGGTCCTTCACTTGAGATATGTCAGATTTGTGAAAAAGTAAATTTACGATTAAAAACAATATAAACCAGAAAGTTCTATCTGCGCAGACACCTTTGAACTTGGTGCTATACGGTTCTATCTGCAATCCAATCACACAATGCTGTGTTGTCAATAAAAAAATGTTGTATGTAAGGTGATGTACTTTTTGAATCATGAAAGAGGAAGACATCACAAAGCAGTTCTAAGATCTGGGACTTTAAAAATACTCTATCTCAAAACCATACATTTTGCAGATAGAACCTTATTACCCCAAATCCTTGATTATGATATTATATTTTTTTAAACATATTTTTTATTTTTTTATTTTTTTTATTTTTTTTATTCATATCATAGGTTCTGGTCCTCTTTCGCAATTACTTTACACTTTTTCAGAAGAATGGCTATTTATGGTATAAATAAATACATACAGGTGCCTAAGACCATTTTTCAAGCCCATTGGAGAGGCATTGCTGTTTTTGTCTTGTTCTATATCAGGGATGGGCAGGCCCGCAGATCTCATTCAGGGTCTCAACTTAATGTTGAGAGTTAGAATAGTAGAATACACAAGGTGCAATTTCGAAATTTGGTTGTGCATCAGCAGTTTTTTCATGTTATGTCAGTCATTGGTAGTCACTCAATTAGCCCATGTCGGCTAAAATATTTTCGATTGGTAAGTTAGTCTAACCAGCTACCTAAACTTGTAGTAATCATGGTCGAATTACCGCCCGGGGCCCCCATTGATTTTGTTAGTTACTCTCGACTGATATCATATTAAAAAACTGCAAACATTTCTCTCCACCCTATGGCAAAATGTGTAGAATTGCAGGAAATTAGCTGTAGAATCTACCTGCAGTCAAATGACCTAGTGGCCTCCATGGGTGGAATGTTATTAATATTTCTCAACATTAATCAACATTATTTTAAAAACCTGCTGGAAATCCGGTGTTTCTATGTCAAACGGTTTTGTTATATTTCAGTCTTCTGTGATGTATATAAACAAACTCAAAATGTAATAAATTTCAACTCTATATCTGACATGGTACAGTTGTCTTCTTTTTTTAAAGCCCATAACCATGTGTGTGAGGTGTATAGTTTTGTTTCAAAGTAGATTTGTTTAAGACTACCAAGAAACACTCTGTGTGACCCTGATTCAACCCACTGCAGTAAAAGGTTGACGGGGAACTTCACCTGCTTATTTGGCTTTGTTTATTTGGCTTGCTTGTCAAGAAATGCTGGCAGCCCACGACAGAAGCCAAACGTGAGTTGGCTTTGGGGTGTGGTTTGATGTGGGTATTTCTTGGGTGTGTCCTGTCCGGACCGATCTTGATTTAGCCCAAACATTTGACCGGACCAAATATGAACCAATCATAGACATCTACACTGTGCTAACGTAATTGCAAAACGGTTTTCTAATGATCAATTAGCCTTTTAAAATGACAAACTTGGATTAGCAAACACAACATGCCATTGGAACACAGGACTGATGGTTGCTGATAATGGGCCTCTATACGCCTATGTAGATATTCCATTAAAAATCAGCCGTTTCCAGCTACAATAGCCATTTACAACATTAACAATGTCTACACTGTATTTCTGATCATTTTTATGTTATTTTAATGGACAAAAAAATAGCTTTTCTTTCGAAAACAAGGACATTTCTAAGTGACCCCAAACTTTTGAACGGTAGTGTACAGTGAGGGAAAAAAGTATTTGATCCCCTGCTGATTTTGTACATTTGCCCACTGACAAAGACATGATCAGTCTATAATTTTAAAGGTAGGTTTATTTGAACAGTGAGAGACAGAATAACAACAACAAAATCCAGAAAAACGCATGTCAAAAATGTTATAAATTGATTT